AATTCGACCTGACGGCTGGACCAGTTTCAAAAAGTCGAACAATATTTTCGCAAAATTAGATACATATATATATATGCATATATATGCATATATATTCGGAACTTTCCGACGGAACTTTCCGTCTGTCTACTCGTCCACTCATTGCCGTGGCACTGACGTGACAGATGTAAATCTCGTTAACGTGTTCTATCGCCTATAGAAGGGAACCATTGAGGTCCCTCTATTAATAGCCGCAAATAACAAACGCTTAACATCGATCAGTCTCCAAAACGTGCCAAATCGATACTTCGTGAATTGCTCAGGAATTGCTATATTTATAAAAAGAAGAAAATATTTGCAAAACATTTGCCAATCTCGAAAACATCACGCGCGAATCGTAAAAGTAGAAAACTCGCCTGATGAAAGAGATAACGATCATTTTCATAATTAAATGATAGATACATACAAATTTCATTCGCGATTTATTTTCTGCTGCTTGTAAAAAACTAACAAATATATACGTGGTACCTCAAAATTAAGATAACTTAAAATAATAACAGAATAAAATAGTAATAATAATACTAATTGTGTGATTTGTCACACCCACAGTAATCACATGTTAAAAGCGCATTGGTACTAATTAATTGGTTAAAAAAAAAAAATGCACTTCGTACTCCCTCCGGAACGAGACGAAATGCAAATATAGACATTTGGATGATCGCCTAACGAGAATACGCTATCGTGTCTGCGGCCAAATGGCGAAGGCAAACGATTGTTCTCGTTAAACGAATCGGCAATTGTCAGAAGCACGCGAGCTTTTAATTCACCTTTGCAGATACCAAATACCGCTCGCGTTCTCCAAAAACAGACTTTCTTTTATTTGCGGTTCATCGACCTGTGACGTTCCGCAACAATTTTGTTATGTAATCATATCTGTCTGCTTAAGCCGAAAATATATTAGACGGCTTTGCGAAGTATTCGGCAAGCTGCCAAAATTCTCAAATGAGATATTTTCAAAATGCACAGCCTTGAAATCCACGTGTCATTGTCAAATCCACGTGTCATTATTTGAATGAATCCTTAAACTACTCATCATTTAGTGATAAATATTATTTATTATTTTATTAACAATAGAAGTAAAACAAAACTAAAAAAACCTCAAAGTAAAATAAAACTAAAAACTAAAAAAATAATACATTTCCAAATATATAAAAAACAGATTTTCTAAATTAATATTTTTAGAATTCGAGAAAAAGCTGAGAACATTAAAAAGCAGATTTCTTTTACAGAAGAGATTTTTACGGAAAGATAACATTGTACCTTTTTTGGTAGACACGGGGCACAAAAACGGTATGTTTTTTTTTTTATCTTTGATATACCATCAGTCATTGTTTACTCAGTACTAGTCAAAGTTACGCTCATGTATATGAATGCAAAAAGATATAAATCGGCATAATAATGGAGCGTCGAGTTCACTCGTCTCTGTCTGTGTTAATTCAATAATAATAAATAAATTAAGAGCTCTTCTTGCTTGCAAAATAGTAATTATGCTTTTGAAACTCGGCATATTCATTCGAAAAATAAACCACTGGAAAGTGGACTACTGATCATAAAATCGTTATCTGTTGAATCACGACTCGCGGTATTGTAAAACCGGTAATTTAATTAAAGTACCGCCGACGTGATCGCGAAATTAATTCCATCAACCGTTGCCCCGTGTAATCACTCGGTAAACATGCATAATGGTGATTAACTATTTCGCCGGTACTTCTCGCGATTAATCATTATCCTTGTCGCGTGTCGCACGCGTGGGAATTGTCATCGGCAGACCGGACGGTTTTCGACAGACTTTTTCGGACGGCCGATGCGACGTCCGATGACCGATTTTTTTTTTTTTCGACGGTGCATCGACCGACTTCCCCGACTTGCTTACCGCGTGATACGCGCGTTACGTAACTCGACTCGACCTGCATTTGCAGGCCACGCATGATCGCCCCGCGCATGGGAAAGACAGAGAGCGGGCTATTTACTCGCAGCGAAAGTAATTCGATTCGATTGAATAGCCGCGAGCCGCGTTACTTCTCCGTGTGTAATCCACCGCTAAAAATGCCGCGTTGCCCGCAAGTTGAGCGTCGCGTCAAACACGACTAGATTGGCCTTCGCGACTGGTTTTCGCGAAAATCCTGAAAACGACAACGACTCGCGTGCGGTAAAATATTCGCTGAATTACAGCCGTAGCTTTCTAAGATTAAAGTTTTCAAAAATATAGTGTTACAGGTCTATGACACCCGATAATTAAGTGTAATTACCGAGTATTACAGTTGCTTGCTTCATCTCGCGAGAAAATTGAAGGTGTCAGAAACAATTTTCATTTTCCATTCATCTCTCCGATCCCGTTTTAATCTCGACTCACGTTGAACTCGCGCTAAGATGGATTTATTTGCAAACGGTTTGTGCCTAGGCTCTTTGCTGGCATAGTACTCGTTTCTGAACGTAATTCAGGTTATCCACTCTTTCATGTTGAATTCGATACATTTACTGTTCGATTTATCTCTTTATATACTCTCGAACTATTTCTCGCTACGATCGATATATCTCGTTGTTGTTGACGCTCCCGCGTTTACTATCGCGGAAATGAGAGAAAACGGCGAGTCTCGTGACTTACTGTTTTCAAATCGAAATTAATTCGCGTGACCGACATCGTGGTCGATCTATGATTTCAAAAGTAGAATATCCGGACGAAGTAAGAACGATGGGGACTGGCCTTCGTCCAGGTGAATTTCTTTGACCATGGACCTGGCACTGAATACACAATCACGAGGTTGCATTTATTTTCGAACGTCTTTACCAGTTACATTAAGGGTATTCAGTTTATAAATTTCGAGAACAAAAGGCATAATTTAAGCTTTAAAATAAAAAAAAAAAAGATAAAATAGAAAAGGTTAGATAGGTTTGATGATAAAAATTTGGAAATTTGAAATATATTTGAAATCAAAATTTTGAAATTTTATCTCAATACAGAAATTTATTTTCAGCATTTATTTAAAACGCAAAATGCTCCAAAATTGAAAATTAAATGTTCTGGAATTTGTGATTTTTTTTTAGACAAGGAAAAATATGTATTTATCAATAATTATTTCTTTTAAAAAGACATCAATTGTCTTATCGTATGCAAAGATAATCAACTGTTTTTGTGAAGAAAGAATCGTATTTTTATATACGACTTTTATCCGTCTTTGATCTTTTACTCGTCGAATTTATACAGAATAATGTTTTTAATGATCCAGACTTCTCAGATATAAAGTCTGGCATGTCACTCGCTATAGCCTTGAGCTTCGCTGATTCAGCGTTTCTTGCCGAAATAAGATCAAAGCGCAGGAAACACGAAGCTCGTTTCCTCGAAGCCACTGTACAAACAGCTAATGAAGACATGATGCAACGAGCATCATGCGAATGAAAATTTTCGTTGTCGATCTTTGATCACTCATCTATTTGCCTGTTTACTCAATGATAAATCTGATTACATCACATCTTCATAACGAATAAATTCACGGTAACATTATTACTGAATTGTATTCAAGAGTATACACTCCTCATTATTAAATACAATTCAATAAAATATCTTACGTATTTAATGATCATTTTTCAATAATTTCAACTTTTAATAAATTATTTGTTTATGGTTCTGTTAAAGAAAATCTCATGAAAGTAAAATTCTTAAAATATTCAAATATTCGACGATTCGACGAAATTGAAATGTGCAAAAAAACTATTTTGCTAATATTTATCGTTGCATAAATTACGTTTTGCAAAACTGTCGCAGCACCTTGACATAAATACAAGGTACTCGCAAACGTATTTCTATTGCGTACAATTCGCCTGCGTCGTAACCTATTATGCCGGCAAAATGATCAACATGATAATCAACGCGAATGATTACGCAGTAAAGTGTAAACATGTTTTCCCTCATACTGACTCATGTGCTTTCCATTGTGCGTCATCGAATCTGCGGGCTTCGAGTGTCATCGAAATGAGAAGCGGCGGAGCTTTCGCGAGCTCAAAGCTCAAAGATTGACGCGATGAATTGCGTATTTACGTGAACGTTACGTATGAACAACTTATAGGTATTTGTCACGAACATTTGCATAACTTCTTTTGACGAAAGTTTCTTGCTAGCTTTGAATATTATTAACTATTTAATTAACTATTTAATTTCTCAACTTTCTATTTGCTTGTAAAAAAAAAGGGAATCCTTTTACATCGGTTATTATATAAATTTCGATTTTAACAAAATTAAATGTTATATTTACATGAAAAAAATCCTTCTAAAGAAATATAAAGTTTATTATGAATAATAAATGTAAAAGATAAAATACAAATGATTTTTATATTTAAATACGATATTTTGTTTTTAATTATTATTCGATATTAATATTCGATTGCATTGATTTATTATTTGAGATGTGACATAAATGATCTTTCTTTGTCTGGAATACTTCCATTATACATGTAGATATATGCAATTATTTAAATGATATGGCTGTATAAACAATTATATCTAGAATTCAGTATTTTAAAATATTATTAGTAAGTAAACGAATGTTTTTATCGATAATATACATACATACATACATACATACATACTTTGTACATATATTACATATATGTAACATAAACTTGTTATTTATGTACGCACGAAATGTCACAGAAGTTAAAATTAATTCGAATTAAATTGCGAAATACTTTTCTTAGGAAAAAACTAAGAAGATAATATGCATAATTCAATTGCAATAATTTTTTAATTACTACCATTCTCTTCCTAGAAACAAACTGGAAAGAAGCATAAACACTTAAACGCAATGAATTTTGAATTTCTTTTCTTGCTTAACAGTTAACAGTTACTCTCTAAACATTGCAAAAGCAACTTGGGATTTCCCAAGCCCAAATCATATAGTAAACACTGCTCGCTATCCATGCCAAATTATGCACAATTTTTGTTGAGATGACAAGATATTACTCACCTCGAAATAATAAAATTAAATATCAAGGTTCATGGACGTTCGTGCACGTGGCGCGGCAGAAGTTGAACGAACACGATTTTGCGATTTGTGTGAAAGCTCTTTTTAAAGAGCGTTCCACTCGGGCGGCTGCGCTTGATTGAAGAAACGACTCCGAGGTTTATCGTCACGAACCAGTCGCGAAATCGGTCTACACGTATATACACGTGCGCAGTCGCGTTCGTGTAACTGTTGCGTTGCGTGCGAGGAAACGCGAGCGATGCGTGAACACGTCCGACTTGCATGAGCAGTTGAAACAAACTGAAACCACAAGCGAGCGCGGTCCGAAGTTTATCGTCGTACGGCGAAAACTGTCCGGGAATATATGCCCGCTATGTACAGGGGTGTTCAAAAAGGATAGGCTATTATAAATTTATTAACATGATTGATGATCAAAGTGATTTAATTAAATATGTGGAGTGGCTCGTATTAAAAGAGATAGGAACAAATAGGAACAAAAAAAGAGAAATAAGAATAAATGAGAGCAAATAGGCAAACGGTAAAACGCAGTAAAGTATATGACGTCTAATTATTTAAAAAAATGAAATATGATAAAGACTATGTAAACGTCAAAGTTATAAAAAAGTCCAGTGATAGATTCGTCGTTCCTCCGCGCAAGAAACGTTTGTAACTTTTTTAACAACGAATCAATCATGGATTCATTTTATAATTTTGACATTTTATATAGTTCTTCTTAATTACCGTCACAATATTATTTATTGATTTTTTTAAATTTTTTTATTGTAATAATGACGACTTTTGTGCATATGTTTCGTGTTTTATCGGTTTACTTGTATACATTTTAACTTTTTTATTATTATTTATTGATATATTTATTATAGAATTATATTTCAGCAGTCGAAGAAGAATCAATCAAAGAATAAAATCGTCAATTAAAATACATTAAATATACATGTTTTAATAATTGGATATTTTATTTTTTTTTGTTTTATTGGTTTTTGTATCCTTATTTATTTATACAACTAATTTATTCCTACTGGCAATTTAAAAAATCAAACTATTTTTAAAATATATTTAAAATATAATATATATAATTATTATATGTAATTTAGTGTATATATTATATGTAATTATTGACAGTTTTTCTTAAATATATGTAAATAATTATAGCATGAATATTAAAATGTCGCATCGTAAAATGTTTCATATTTCTTAATTTAATTAAGTCTCTTTTTCTTCCAGTAAATAGAAATGTAAATTATTTCCGAAATTCCTCCTCCATTCAATTACACTCAATTATAATTTTTTATACATGTATCGTGAAATTCGATTATTTTACTTGCCTTTAATTCTTTTAATTTAAGTTAAGATTAAGTATATATTTTGTAATTCAATCAATAAAAATAAAAATACGTAATATACAAAAAACAAATATGCTTTACAAGAAAATATACGCGTTTATTATTTAACTTTTAAATAAATAAATAGTTAAATTAAACTTTAACAAGCGTGATATACACATTATAAAAATAATAAATATGATAAATTACATTTAAAAAAAATAATCTTTCAATGAATATACAATGACAAATGTCCCGATACAATTGAATATATTCATTACATAAAGTCGTATGTTGACGTACGCATTGCTCTATACAAAATACGCACGTGTACACGCGCTCGTTGACAAGTATGCGTGTGAGGTGTAAGACCACGCGATGCGTGTTTCGTATGAGGCGATGCGAAGCGATTGGCTGTTAACAGTCGGACCAGAGGCCGAGCCTCTTTTGCCTCGATGTGGGAGACGAAAGAACGCAAAACGATGTGAAGATGGTTGGCTTAGGTCGAAAAGGCTACCGAGGCATATCGCGCGATCAGCCATGCGCCGAAAAACATTTTCGTCAGACTCACGCCATCAAAGATTGCCCAATTATTGCACGTAGACAAAGCTCGCGTTCTTTGCAGGTGTTTTTAAGACTACTTCTTCACTTAGAAAAAATCGGCAAAAGTTTTAAACAAAACGACGGCTGAATGTATCTTACTCACTGCGAGGTGAACGTACTCATTATAATTTTTCTTTTTGAAGACTGTTATCACTATTGACACGAGATAACTCGTATGGCTCATTTCTTCTATAATTTTTTTCTTAAAAGCGTCATTGTATATCATTGTATATATTCATTGAAAGATTTATTTTTTTTTTTTATGTAATTTATCATATTTATTTACTATTTTTATAATGTGTATATCACGTTTGTTAAAGTTTAATTTAACTTTATTTATTTATTTAAAAGTTAAATAATAAACGCGTATATTTTCTTGTAAAGCATATTTGTTTTTGTATATTACGTCTTTTTATTTTTATTGATTGAATTACAAAATATGTACTTAATCTTAGCTTAAAAGAATTAAAGGCAAGTAAAATAATCGAATTTCACGATACATGTATAAAAAAAATTTCTATGGTATAATTTATTGTTTAATTTATTGTTTAATTTATTTTATATTTAATGATATTTTGGAATGATTGATATGTTGTCTAAAGCTTTGAATGATTAGCACAGCTAATCGATTAATTTAACTTTTGCTGTCTTCAGAAGGATATTTATTGAAATGAGCAATTTTCAAGGATTGACTTGTTATTTTATTGCTTCTCCGTATCGATTCATTACTTTTACGTCGTAATTTGAATGATATAAGATTATTAACTCTCTCGTAAAATAAATTCGATTGTTAAATTTCAAAGAAGCATGTAGATTCTGCAAAATTTGATTTGGTATAGAATACTAATAATATTTTAATTATTGCGTAAGCAATGAAAATAAGATGTGTACATCTCGCATTTTCGCAGTAATATTACGTCATACGCGCTTATATAATGACGGAGTGAAAGTTTCATTAAGGATAATCCTAAATTTTGCGATCGTGCGATCATCGATATCTTAAGTAAACTTACTTTTAATTATATAACAAAACCAAGAATATTATTTGTAAGAATGTTATTTTGTAGTGTACATGTTATCGTACAATGTTATCGTTAAATTATTAGCTCTATTTTAGATAAACGCCGATTGTATGCTAATCGCTATTTATATTTTCCTATCAAAATGGGTATGTATTTATGACTTGAAAAAATATTAATTTTTTTTGTTAGAAATATTAATAATAGCTCCGTAAAATATTGAAAAAAAGAAGCATACAAAAGACCACGATGAAGTATTTATTAACTTACTTGTATAATTTATTTACCTGCCGCAATCATAATAATTAATTGAGACAGATTAATTAACTTCAACTTTGTCTCGTTTATCAAATCGGAGACAAATGTGAAGGGTTATACTTTTTATCGACATTCATATGACGCACAAGTTGAACAAAGAAATCGTACGTTATGTAGCCACAACAAGAGCTATGTACGTCTTGCCCGAATAATAAAAAATTATACAAGAATTGTCCGCTGTCCCTTTGTTATAATTTCTGCTGCGTAATACAAATCATGCATTGCAAATAAACAATATTATCATACGTACGCATATATCTACGCTTGATGGCTCTGAAATCGATTCGAAAAGCAGGATATACTTAAAAAATTCTTTCATTCTTCCAGTTAAAAATTTACGCTATACTAACATTTATCTCATTCGTTGAACAGTTAATAAATGAAACAGGTAGTATTTGCAATACGTGGCATATGAAGCGATATTGATATTAACACTTCGATAATTGAAAATCCAACATCGCACAACGTGTTGACATTGAGAGACGTTCAACTTGACCATTGATCGTCGTACGAAATATCAAAGTGCTACTTCCAACAATATCGATGTGATAAAAATAAAATCTCATCACTCGTACACAATCTTTTTATTTCGCAACGATATATCTAACGTGTGAGACATCATATATGTGTTTTTAGTTTCCTACCTTCGTTTTCGAGATGCCAATTTTTTTACCTTTTTGAAATTTCACTTTTCATTAAATAAATTTCTTCTTCGAGAGAGGTACGTTCTCCGGTATTTTTTAGTATTTGTCTAAATTTCTGCCTTTCATTCGTACTCTCCCTCTGAAAATGCGTCGGTGGTTGGCAGTTTCGTACTTTCTCGCGATATTCCTTTTCGCGATAGCAGATGCTCTGCCTTATGTCACGTTGGCGAGGTCGCCGACCTGGACATCGCGAGTGCGATTACCGAGTGCCATGTATCCGCGGCTTTTATGCGCGAGACCAAACAGGCGATTGGAGTTCCTCCGAAGGCGAAAATGGAGTAACAAGAGCACGCCGCCCGCGGTTTCTCTTCAACGACCTCGATCATTCAACCGCACAGAAGGAGAAAGCAATGTGCTCTTCTACCTTCTCCCTCTCCGCGAGAACCTGCGGTTTTCGTACAACAAAGCTCTCGAGTCAACCGAAACGAAATTTCTCTAATGTTGTTTGGACAATTGTCTTTGAGAAGATATGTCGCGAGCACGCAAAAAACTATTGTCCAAATATATTTAGATAAGAGCAAGTTTATTTTTTAGAGTGTTTATTAAGAGGAATGTCTTAATCCGACCGCGTCTATTAATTTCTAAGAAATTATTAATTTTTATCAAGATTTTAAGTGAAGTGTTATCTTTCTGTGGCGTGAGAAGACACTCACGATTCTAACAAAAAGTAGGTATTGGTAATGGAGTTTTATCGAGATAATAAAATTGACAAAATGAGAAGGATGAAATACTTGGGTGTTGATTACACCGTAAACTGATATCGGTTGTCCGTTATTGAAATATGATAGTGTAGAACGAGATGATAACATGATCAAATCGAGAAACTAATCGTTCTACTAATATTACTATAGTTGTTACAAAGCAGACTATTTTTCAAACAAATATAAAGTTCGCAATCGTTTCAGTTATTAATCGTGATGTGCGCATCAGATTTCTCTCACGCGTCAGATTTCGCAATTAAAGCGTAGTAAAGATACGTCACGATATACACCCACTTTTTCTCGAACTGCGATTGGTCCATCATAAATGATTTCGTCGAGGACAAATCCGCCAGGGCCGACAAACAAGTTTGTTTTTCATTTGCGACTTCCTGATACGTCGCGGCGCTTGTGCCAGGAATTTAAAAAATAATATAAATGATAGAGACATGGAAAGTGATAAAAAGTGTTGTCAAGCAAATTCTGAATAACAAGCAAATATAAACGACAACTGCGAAAATTACCATTTATTGTGCCGTCTGTTATATCCGGTGCTAAGAAACAAGTCATTAAGCAGGGAATTAATTTCTACATCTTGCTTACTTTGTTTATACAATTTTTACTCGACTATTACAATTTTTTTACAATTTTTACCGCAAAATATTCGAGCGAACATGAAAAATGGATAAGATGAAATTAGAAACTATATAAATAAATATATAAGATAGAAAATAAGATGGAAGAGAGAAATTAAATAATTTTACAATTTATAAGGATTTTACTTTAGACAGTTATTTTACAATTTATAAGGATTTTACTTTAGACAGTTAAAATCTTTCTGTTGAATTTTTTAATAAAATCAAAAATTTCATTGGCATCTTCGAGTCAGCATTTGCATTTGTGAAACGCAGCTTGTGTTAGCAAATGCTCACCGTCGTAATTAAATTAAAATAAAAAATTTATAGAATGTTGCTCTAATTAAATTTTATAATTATGTAAGTATGCGTAAATTCATAAGTGAATGTTGTATTAAATTTTACAGTATAGAGAGCGCCACATAACGAAGTGAATTTCACGTCGATAATGAACATCGAAAATCTCTCGGATGTAGAAATCGACTTTACCTTGTTAAATAGAAACAATGAACGATGTAAACAAACGAATAATATTTGCACATGAAACTCCCTACAGCAATAAAAACTGCATAGTTCTAGATATTTTATTAAAACTTTTTGAAATGAAAATGAAAAATTTTTGCATCTAGAAAGAATATTCGACGTAAATTAATCGTATAATTAATTATACGAGCTATTAACTTTATATATAATTTTATTTTTTATAAATACTGTTTTAAACTATTTTATAACTTTAATGCAACAATTTATATTGCCGTAAGATGACGTTTAAATTAGATGATATTTAATGAAACTAAAAATACATTTTGTATTGATACAATCTACCTTCGTTATATGTATTTTAAACTATGTTTTTTTGATAATGTTCTTTGTTTATTTTTACTTTGTTTTATCACGTGTTTTGGTGACTGCACGATAAAGATTTAATTGAAAGAATGTGTTTTTTTGATGGATGATTGCCGATTGAATTGATAGAGAAAGAAACGTTTAATAATCCTAGGCTTAATAATCCGATAATCGGATTTTTGGGGATAAGTGAAGTGTTTTTATAAAAGCGTTGGTCATAGAGAATTAATATAGTCTTGTTACAAGCGCCATGAAGTCCGTTTACATTATTCTGATATTTACTTCTCTAGTTTCGGCAGAACCCGAAACTATGTAAGTATATAACAACATTTTACTATTTTAAATTTAATTTTATTTTTGATTTTTAACACCTTAATAGCAATTTTTTTTGAAAAGATTTATTTTATCTTAGAAATGATTTTTAATTATTATTTATTAATTAATCTTTAATTACTATTATTATTCATTTATTATAACTTTTAAATATGTAATGTATTATAGAATGGGAATAATTATTTGTTATTCTTATTCTTTGTCTGTCAACTCGTTTATTTAACTGTGGAAAATTCGTTCTACTTTTTGATTCACTTCCTTTTCAATATTGAAAGATAGAATCCAGTTTAAATAAGTTAAACAAATTTTTAATAATTATAGGAATGTTATTGAAATTGGAAATTGGAGTATTGACATAAATGACATTGTGGATGGTATTATTCCTCAGATTTCGCAATTTATTGTCGAAAATAATTTGGATCCGCTCAAACTCCCAAATACTGAAAAAAGATTGTGGATGGTACGTAACGCTTTTAGGAGCATAATTTATAAAATAAAAAATAGGAAAGACAATTAAATCGTTATATATTTTAATTCAGATTAAACAGTATTTGTTAACAACAAATTACATATATTTATCTTGGAATTTATTACTTCGTAGAAAGTAAAAGTTTAATAATTATAAATGTAGATTGTAAGTTTTAGATTTAGCGAATTGTAGGTGAGTTTGGTACGAACACAGTACAATTTCATCGAGAGACCAGTCATTTACGTAAGAGAGCCCGTTATTACGGTAAACAGGTGCGCGTTAGCTCACAATCGCGAGAGCTTGCCTCGAAAATCGGGAGAAAGCTGGGTTTCGGGGTCGGAGCTGGGATTCGAGGTCAGCAGGCCGCGATGCGAAAGCAAGCGCACGCTTAACCTCGGGGCCGTAGAAAGCGAAACCGAAGAGTTGGGCCTTGAATGAGAGCGAAAGTGAAGTCCCGATGATGACACTTTCGAGCGTTAACCTTGAGCCGAGATAGATCACGGCCAAACGTCGAGGTCGGCCCCCGTCTCGTTTTCGCTGATCCCATTTTTGACGTTTCGAAGGCTAACGCGCGATAGCTTTGAACTTGGACGAGAGTGAAAACCAAGGTTTCACCCGGTAGATTGAAGTAGAAGGCGAGCTCGGGCTCAAGTTCAATGCCATCGTTCAGCGCAAGTGCTTAAACTCTTCCTACATCGCGTCGAAGGCGAATTAAGCCATTTATCTTACGATAGTAGATAAATTCTTATCGAAGAGAGAGAAAACAAATTCTAAAGAAGAAAACATCCTGAATATTTTTAGAAGAAGAATTCTTAGGAACGAATTCTTTTTTTTTTAATTAACTAATATTTTGTGATTTTACAAGATTTTTTATTATATTGAAAATTTAAGCCTTGGCATTTTTAAGTCTAAAATCTATATAGACTTTTATCTATTTAATAAAGATTATTATAATTGATTTATTACCGAATAGAAATTCCTGACAATATTCAAGTAAAAAGAATAATATATTATTCTTTTAAGTAATTATTTAATTTGGAACAAATAAGATCACTTATAATCGTGCACGTGTTTGTAAAACGTCGATAAAGTGCTTTTGTTGTCGTGTTAGAAGAAACTTATTGTTTTCAAGAAATGTGCATGCATGATGATAATGCAATCGCGATAGTATCAATAAAATCTTATATGTCTTGCCTGACTACTCGTATCGCTGTATGATTTCATTAGTTTAGTTTCAGATGCTTAACCCAATTACTTACGATAACAAAACTATAAAATTACAATTTTATTAAGATATAACATGAAAATTGTTATTAATTTTATAATAGGGGAAACCAATGGTAGCCAACCAAGCTCCGAAGATCGAACCAAAGATATATAGAGCCGATTTCCATTTACACTCGGGATTATTGAAACACTTGTCCAATTTGAAACGTTATGGCAACGCCACTCTCAATTACGAAAATGATTTATATTTCGATGTTGGCTTCGAATTCGAACTTTTAGAGGTAACTTGAATAATCGTTTCATTTTTTTATTTTTACCTCTTTAAAGCTACGTTGTATTACAGTAACTTATATGTCTCGTAAACAAAAATTTGTATACTTCATATCACTACACATCATTGTTTGCCGTTTAAAGAGATCCTTTTTGTATTCAGGGAACGTACAATTACACCCTAGATTTGGTCTTTCTAAATTTTAAAGGTCGCATTACAGCTTTAACGGAAAACGTACGCTGTAAAATTAACGTCAAATCTGACCTAACAGATCAGACTTTAACTCTCACCAAATTTGAGTTACAAGTTCCAGGGTAATGTAATAATATATTAATTGTGAAATATTGTATAAAATCGAATTATTTTTTCTCGTGATATATTTATATTATTCGTATAAGGAAATCTTTCATAAATTTAATTAATCAATTAAATTTTATTCTATTCTAGTAAAATTGATGTAATAGTCGAACATAAGAACGGAAAAGTAGATTGGATAAATACGGTCATCGTCAATATTATAACTCCGTTCTTTAAGAATGCGATTGTGTATACTGTTCAAAATGAAGCGGCAAATGCAATTCAAAAATATTTCGATGAGCTAAGCAAAACAACTGCTCAACAGAAACCATTTGCTTTTCCTTCCAATTATTACCAACATGATGTATCGAATTAGAATTGTGTGTGTGTATGTGTGTGTGTGTGTGTGTATGTGTGTGTGTGTACGTGTTAATTTCCTAATACAATATTTTCTATGTAATTTTATATTCTGAGTATAGAAATACATTACGTTTTTTTTAGTTTATACTTGTGTATTTATGAATCCGATTTTTAATATATATTTTTAGTATATACTTTAGTATATGAATCTACTTGATGAATTTAAGCTTGACTTAAAGTTTTTAATTGCATTTAATTGCATTTATCGTTGTTTTGATGCTGCAGTGTACGTTAATGCTGTTATATCAATAAAAAAAATCTTTTTTACTCTTAAACTGTTTCGTGATATCTAACCGTGATATCTAACTTAGAATATTATCAAATTGATAAGATGTAATCAGATGACAGGGGATGGACAATAAAAATAGAGGAAATCGTTATATCTTTCGTAGTTGAATTGTTAGCGCAGTCATGGCCGATCAAGTACAATTAATTTTCCTCCTCATCATAGCATTGATGTATGATGCACTTCTTGCGAGTGAAGATAACCCGTAAGTTTGTATATTAATCAGCAATCTTACAATCTTTTATAATTGTCTTTATTATTTCATCGTTTCGCAACTAAATCTTTATGCTGTATTTTGCGAAGAGAAAGCAAGGCTTTTTTACCTTCTTTTTAATACTTACGATGATTGTAAAAATGCTACGACATACCTTTTTAATTTTTCAACTATATTATAATTTTTCAAATATAATTTTTATATTCTAAACATAAAATAATAATAAGGCTAATGAAAGAGAATCAGCGCTGTAAACGTAAAACAAAAAATATAATTTTATATTCAATAAAAATGTTTACATTCTGATAATAAAAGTTATATACTACACTTTGAATTAATTATAAATGAAGTAACGCGTATTTTTTTATTATATAGTCGCGTGGTGCAATTTGTAGAAGTAAGGGCGAATCTTAATAATGTAGTTGATAAACTGTTACCATCCATACGTAAAACCATCTTAAAAAATGGAATGGATCCTATGCAACTCGTCGATATTTCCGAATATATTTTCCCACACTTGGTACGTAAAATTGTAATCAATAAATCTTTATCCCTTCATTTTCAAACTTTTATAAAAAGTAAACACCGATAAATCAAAGCTTATCTTTATAAAATACCAATGATAGATAAGCTTATTAATGCATCTCATTCCGATTTTGTATTTCGAAATAATACTTTTAGCCTGGAAAACTCAAGGGAAACATCGACTTAAAGAAGGGATGGATGCAAAACCTGTCGCAAATAAAACGCAGCAACAACGTGACTGCAATATACAAGGACAAACGTTTATCATTGGACATGAATTTGGGATTTGACGTTATGGATGTAAGATCAATACGAACAACATGCTAATAATCAATATCAAAACACCATTACAGTTTAACTTTCGTTTAACTTATTTTTAGTTTAACTACGAATATTATCTGCAACATTTATTGTATAAGAGACATGGTGATATGTACGGTCGCTTCTACAAACTTGATGTCAACGTCGTGATGTCGGTTGATTTGCTTAATTATTACTTGATTCTTGACTCCATCAAGTTTTCTGACGTCTGGTAATTTTTACTTTTCATATCTCTTTTATATTGTTTGTCCATTGTGCATAAAATGTAGGGATTTGACACGGTCACGTAAATCGAATGCGACGTGAAATGTTTATCAATTTCGACGTATAAATTACACTGTATTGATTGGCGATGATAGAGCGCAGTGAGTTGTTTTCGTGCTGGCGATAAATCCACAATATTGAACAGGTGGACAGTAGCAGGAAAATGTATAGATAATCGTCAGAGTTCGATTATTGTGATTGATAACTGTCAGGCAATCGAGAAATGACAATAATTATTTTGTAAAGTTTCTAGTCTTTATCATACTTAATCGTAGTTTTTAAATATACCTAATTTTTTTTAATTTTATTATCAACGACCGTACTCATAAGTAAAGTGTCTATTTTTTTACTGATGTTAGATTTTTAAATTAATTTGCAAATTTTACTCGTGCGACAGTTTCCTTCTTCTATCTTTATCTTTCGCAGGAAATATGACATCAAATTCGAGGGTCGTCTTTTGGATCCCATTTTGAACGCTGCAACTAAAGTAATCACATCAATTTTTCGTAATCAGGTATTGACAGTTATTGAGAATTATGCCAAGTTGATCTTTAGCGCGAAACTTGATGAGTGGAACAAAATTTCACAGCCAAATCGCACGGCATTGATAGAAGAATGGCTTGACATTGTGAAAATATAACAAATATAAGATAACAAATCTACTACTAACTTTTATTATTTATGGAATATTATTT